CAGGGGCCAGATTAGCGTGCAGCGGTGCTGTGTGGCTCATCGCTGCGGTGATGGAGCGCTTTTGTCCCCGGCGGTAATCCGCTCGCTCTCAATGCCCCAAACCCTGGTATACGGTTTAAAACAAGGCTGGATTATCACCACTTTTGAGAGTGAAAAATGTTGGTAATGCCCAGCAGCCTGGTTTTTTTGTTTGGAGTACGGTCTTTTGTTACAGGGCCCTGTTTCCTTTGTCCGAGTTTGGAGACCCCGGCCACGCATATAAACCATACGTCTCTGATTCCGGGTCTCCGGCATGAAGTGGTTAAGGAGCTTTGACTTCAAATCACATGGACCTCCATTTCATGCGAACAGAAATTAATGTTATGGCTGTTTGCTTGTTAGATCTACCAGTTGAAGATGTACGTGCACCTGATGGAGCATAAATTGGTCTGTAGGTTTGAACACAAAACTGTTAAATTGACAGAGTTCACTGTCTCCAGCAGTTTCATGGGCTGTCATTGGATTGATACAGCCCCTATGTTTGTATTTATCTGTAACAAATATTTGGCTCCCTGTTTGTCATGTCCATTGTATTTCAATGCTGAATTCACCAAGGAGGCACATATACAATACCGGTATGTCTGTGACTTTCATAACATTTACGATGCATTCTCCTTACCACTCCGAATTTAGATATCATTCATATGCTGTGAGAGATCTTATTGTTATTAAACAATTTTAATCTTTCTTGTAGTGTTGAAGATCACCCATATATCAAAGGCATTTATGAAATTGCCCGGTTGGTCGGAGAACGTTTCCGCTTTCTTCCCTTCCACTTGGACACAGTCTACAACTTAAGCCCTAGTGGGCGGCGCTTCCATCGAGCAATTGAATCAGTTCACAAATATGCACGTGATATCATCCATCAACGCAGGCTGACTCTAGCAGCAGAGACCACCAACAGTAAAACTGGACAAAGGAAGCACGTAGACTTCTTGGACATCCTTCTCTGTGCAAAGGTGAGATTCTTGTTGAAGAGGGGTGTCATGAGGTCCGTGAAAGCTAATCTTAAACAGTCATAAAAGGTATTTATTAGGCATGCCTGCTAGTGCAGCTGCATCACACTTTTAAGTGCATTTTTGGGACCTACCCCTGGAGAAAACATTGTGGATGAATTTAAGGGACTATCTCAAAAGTTGGATATGGTCAATGGCTATTCCACTGGGCACAGTCAGTGTTCGCAGTTGAATGCTCAATGGTCTGCTTGAGGAAGCCATTTCACCTAATTGCAAATACAACAGTTTCCAGTGAGTTGGTACTCGTCATTACTTACGTGTGTCTTTGCTTGTTACCTGATCTGCCTAACATGACTCTCACATAGTCCCCTACCATCCCCAACTGACTCAAAAGGGCAGAATTTTGGGACACCTCATGTAATTGTCAAATTAAATGCATTCATATAAGCTACTCTCAACACATAGACATCAACACATTCAACAGAAACAGACATTTTGCTCTTTAAGTGTCTTTTTTTAAACAAAATCAAACTTGACTTACTCCAAGATGTACAGACATGGGGATGGACAGAGACTGGGACAGATGGAGGGGGAGATGGGGATTTGCACCGGAGGGGGGAGACAGACAGAGAGGGAGGCATGGGCGGACACAGACAGGGGTGGACAGAGAAGGAGACTGGGATGGATGAAGAGAGAGTTGAATAAATGGAGAGGGGTAGGGATTGAGACGGGATTTATGGAGATTCGGATGGACAGAGATGGGCATAGAAATATAGGAACACGAGGGGATGGGAACAGATGGACATGGAAATGGATAGAGAATGAGACATGGATGGAGTCAGAAATGGAAATAGAGACGGACAGGGACTGATGGACAGGGAGATGGAGGAGCGATGGATGTAGACGGGGACGGATGCAGTGAGAGACAGAGAAGAGAACAAATGGAAACCACTACATGTATAGATAAACATTTCCTTTGCAGATATACAATGTATACTAAAAACTCATTTTAACTCGTCTCTACAAAGTGGAAAAGTCTGAACTGTGAGAACATCAAAATCTTTTTTCCCTTAATGTTTTATTTCAGTCACAGTATTGTGATCAATCAAAGGTCTGTGCAGGTCCACCATGAGGACATCACAAGCTGTTAAATACCAAGTCAAGTCTCAGATCATTCAAATGAATTGTGACAAAGGTATTCTCATACATGTACATGTACATGTAGTTCACCTTATCACTCCTGACTGGTCTTGTGAAAAGCAAAATTATGGTGACACACGGTTTATTCCAATTCCAGAGTAGACCAAGATTACAAGGTCTTTCTGTGTACTCCTGATTGAATGATGCATTTTCTTTCCTGTTGGTTTCAACCTGAGCTGTATTTTCCTGGACTTTCCTTTATTTCCCAGGACACTGATGGCAAGGGATTGACAGACCAAGAGATTTTCGATGAAGTAGACACGTTCATGTTTGAGGGTCATGATACGACTGCATCGGGCATATCCTGGTTCTTATACAACATGGCCAGGTTTCCTGAATTCCAGCAGAAGTGTAGGGAAGAGATAGACAGCCTTCTGGCAGACAGAACAGATGACAAATTGCATTGGTTTGTTTTTAATCAAATCATTCTCCAAACTATTAATATGTTATGGTTTTTTCAGTCTTGGTGCTGTGACCTGACTGTACATGAAAATTCATGAGTGTTCATCAAAATGTGATTTACTGAGCAAACAACTTCAAAGCCTGGGGTTGAAAATCAGTCAAAGCCTGAGAGGAAAAGAAAGCCAAGTATTGGACCTCCCTAGGAAGCAGTCTGCTTTTGATGAAAAAAAATTCTGTTGATGACATTTTCCTTTTTGACTTTTGTTTGAGTTCAGGCATAACTTGCATTTAATATGTTGCTGTTATTGTGTTACTGTATGAAGGGATGATCTCAACAATCTACCATACTTGGCCCAATGTTTGAAAGAGAGTCTACGTTTCCATGCACCTGTCTACCATATAATGCGAACTTTGACCCAATCTGTGACCTTTCCTGATGGCAGAATGATACCAAAAGGTAAGAAGCAGTTCATCGGGCATCTAACATAGGATCACTAAATTCTGATTTGAGTAGAATTTCTTTAACTTCCTGTGGAAAGACATTCAAGAAATGTCATCTACAGTGTTCTCCAGTCTATATATGCTGCCTAGCAGCCAGTGTAATTCCAAACCTTGGGAAGGGAAGGAAAGGCCAAAGGTGATCCTGAAACAGCCTACCCCCTTTGTATTTCCTTGTCATATTTTTATGAGACCCCAGTAGGTTGGACTTTTAGAAATTAGAAAACAGTATCAAGAGTGCTCTTAAAATTGTTTCTGCTACTGTACTGAATATTCAGTTGTACCAAAGTAATCCTTGCTCCCAGTCTCTCTGAATAGAGCATATTAAATACAGTTGCTGTAAAAAGTTGGTAGATTTTTTTGGAAATCCGGCTGTTTTAATTCTTGAGTGTCAAACAGTGCATGCTGATCATAAGAGGTGCAGTATATTCAATATTTTATAGTATTGAATTATAAGAACACATGTAATCTCAATTCAACAGGCATATCTGTCGCTATTCTCATCAGTGGCTTGCACCACAATAAAAATGTTTGGCACGACCCAGAGACCTTTGACCCAGAACGGTTTGCCCCAGAAAGGATCCAGTCCATCCCTACATATGCATATGTGCCATTCTCAGCTGGCCCAAGGTGAGAATTAATTTTGAATTCAGACTGTGAACAGACATCTTTACCACAGAAAGGCAAGGGAACATTCCTTCCAAGTCGACGTGTATTTTGAACAATGGATAAAACATGGGGGGTGGGTAAACCCAGCTTCCCCCCACCTTGTTTTTCAACGTTTATCGTTTTGAAAAGGATCTGCCAGGTTTTTCTCCACCAGACGTGATGCCTTCTTTTGAGAGAGTGCTGTTCAGTCTGAGTGGTTAACAACAGTCAATCTGTTATCAGATGCTATGCAAGAATAAATGGGATCTTGTCTGGTTACTGTCACCTTTATATTCTAGGAATTGTATTGGTCAGCACTTTGCCATGAGTGAGATGAAGGTGGTTGCAACCATAATACTTCGCAACTTCTACCTGTCTGTTGACGAGTCCGTACCAGTCTTGCGCAGAAATGCTCTGGTTCTTCGAGCTGATAATGGAATAAATTTGTACATCTCGCCTCGCAAACTGTAGAGAACAGACAGAGTTTCAAAGAGGAATATGGTCCAGAGAGGAGTGACGGTTTGTGTGTGAGGGGGCTCAGTTCAGCCTCAGGTTGGTGTGAGATTCCAGAATCATTCCAAATTATTAAGGAAGTAACAAGAAATCCAAAAGATTTTCATCCAGAGAGGTAAACTGTGCAGCAGTCCTTTGTATAGCAACAATTTTTATGTTTTTTATGCATTTGGTTCACAGAGACACACATGATTGAGTAGGCCTTCTGCTTTGATCATTAGACTACTTATCTGGAAAACATTATTTCCAACAAGTTTGTTTCATGCTAAATCAATAATAATTGATCGATTTGCTGATGCACCCACCATAACTTGGCTAGAGGGGTGTTTTAACTGAATTGAATTAAACTTAATGAATGGTAATTAAGATTGGAATATATGTGTTCTTGGACAGTCTTAAACATTTAAGACTGCCAAAAGAGTTTGGACACTGATTTTGAAGCCCTTGCCACTGGATAATCACGTTCTGTGCCACCTCACGTAGCATGTGCCATGTGCACCTATCTCTGCAAGGCAATTGTGTATGACTACTCATGACAGGAACATATTGTCAAATGGCTTGCAATGGCTTGGGTTTGCAAAAAATTAAGAGAATTAGCTACTTGGTATTTAGGTCTTTCGGGAACAATGCCAAAATGAGTTTCTGTCTGGCTGCGCTGATAGGTCAGACAATCACATGCATATTGCTTTTCCAAACCTTGGACACACTTCAGTTTGATTTTGTGCCGTTAGAATACCAAATTTGCTCATACTTTGGAAATTTATGATTTCAAACTTATTTTGACTTTCTGACAAAAAGTTTTCTATGAATGGAAATAAGTATGTGCTTTGCTAGATGTTTAAGACCTGCTCATTAGAATGGGCGCAGTTGATCAACTGTGAAGCTTTGTAGCATCTTTTCTAAGCAATTTCTGTTGGGTCTTTCACCTCCTACTTTGCTCCCTGTCTCTCTGGTCGTTCAATTCCAAGTTCTCCCTGCTGCTTTTGCTTGCTCTGATGCTGTTCCACTCCTAGCCTTGTGGTTTTCTTCAAGATGGTATCTCTTCTTCTTTTGCATGTTGTCAAGGTAATCAACCGCTCTGTTTTTCTGTGCCTTCAACTTGCAAGATAAAAACAGGTAGTAGCCTTAGGAGCTGTTTTCTTTAACACTGCAGACAACACCCACATGTCTGTGTTATGGCAGATTTTGTTTCTTCCTTTGAATTAATGTACATGTACCTTGTGCACTGACATTCCAGCACTTCAACAGTTATATGGATGCAAGCTTTCATCATTCCTTTAAACTTGTCAGAATCTTTAGATGCCTGTCTTAAGGGCTAGAAGAGTGGCGTCAGAGTACCACAGATGCCAGTTGTCCATTCCAGCATGCATGTCTCCTGGATCCTCCTCCATTTGAGAACGTATACCACTGCAATTCCTTCCACATGATCAATCTACTCATCTGCCCCTCTGCAAAACTTTTTCATCCATTAGTCTGACATTAGTTTGCCAAGCAGACCGAGATTATGCATTTCTATCAGTCCATTATCCAAAAAGTGCCGAGTAATGTGCCGCAAGACGTTCCCTCCTGAGGGAGTGTTCTGAACTTGTCATAATGTTAGATAAGAGTCCCATGGATGAGGAATAGAAGATAAAGGCAATTTCCCCTGTATCTAGGTGGTATGCCAATGAGATTCTCATTCTGTAAACATGTTAAACCACATAGGTCACCTTTTCCATATATGTACCTCAACTTATTCATGGACAAAACAATATTGGCAGCTATACCACTGTTCTGCAGTGCTGAGGAAAAAGTCGTAGGAATAGATTTCAGAGGATGTTGTTGACTATGGAGTTCATTTAGATTTAGTCCATGCCGGTTCAACAAGCTGCATTGAAGCATGGTTTGCAGTACAGCAATCTGTCAGTGCATTGGAAATGTTCTCAAGGAGTTGCTGTTTTGAATCCTCTTCTTTCACATCTGTGAGATATACATGGATTTTGGCCAGATTGCCCATGGAATCTGTGATGTGGCAGTTGCTGTCGTCAGGTAACCATCCCCCGCCCTCAGCAGTTGATCAATAGCCTCAATTAAACAGTAAGATTTTGCTGTGTTGGTACTGCTATCATGTTTGTCCTGGATGATTGCCTCAATCAATCAGAAATCAAAGTACACATGGAATATTCATCACAAACTAAGCTGAATGCCATGAATTTCCTTGGATCTGAAGGTTTTCTGTACTGATAGATTCTGAGAAAGAGTCCTTTCCAGAGCAGCATCTTACGTGCCACAAGATCTTTTTCTGGTGAGTTGATCTGGGGATGAAGTGAGTCAAAAGCTGTCTTTACTGTATAGGTTTACAATTCTCTGTCTTTATTTAGTGGAGTGTCCAGACACTATTAATTATCACACAAGCTTGAGTAGAACCCAGAATAATGTTGTGCATCTGTGTCCCATATACCATGAGTCTTACCGGTTGGGAGCATGATAACGGATTTATTTTCAAGAAAACTTGACGCGCAGTAAAGATGTTACAGGGGCCAAATGTGCCACCTTTGAGTTTACAGTAAATTTTGCAGTTGTACATTTTGCTTTTAGCGTCAAAATAGCGCATACAAAACAAACCAGAGAACATCAGCATAAACCAAATGCATGTAAAGTAAGACAAAATAAAAGAAAGCACAATAATACTCCAAACAAACTAAATCAAAACAAAAAAAACAAAGCCAAAGACAATCATGCAAAACAAAAAGATAAAAATTGGGGAAAAGCTGCAGCAGAAATCTATGCAAATGCATTATGATAATTTCATATTTTCTGTCAATTGTGTTATATTGTATTTATGTGTTTTTGTTATGACTGACTGTCAGTCTTTTGATGTGCAACCAATGATAGTGCTTACCGACAGTATAATCTAGTTTTTGAGCATGTTGTGCAATTTTGATACTGCATGTAAATACTCCATGAAACTTCTGTGGTCAGACACAGAACCCTTGTCACAGTTGAAGTCGAGTGAAAGAAATGGCCTTCTATTTAGTTATCTATTAACTAATAATCGTCATTACCAGAATTTATATTTGCTTGTGCATGAGCAATCAGGTGTCTTTTTAAAACCCGATTGCATAACAGTATTTAACAGTTAAGTATTTTTTTGCTTTTGTGCTCATTATCTCTAACTAAACTTACAAAGAAATTTTTCATGAGGAAATATGTCTTTAAGGCCACATAGATCAAGAGCAAACAATTGTGTCCACATTCCACATTGTATCCATATTTTATTTATGTGTGTAATTTTGCACAGTCATCACTTATAAATTGTGAGCAAATAAGTATTAATGGGTTTTAATTCCTTTATGTAATTGTATATTTTTTATCAATAGTGTTCTTACAGTTTGTAGACTTGTCTTGAATAAGCTTGTCTTCAAGTGTATTATTTTATTGGTTGAACTCCTGAAAATAAAAGTTAGTCTCAAGTAGATGTGAGAATTTGAATGCATACATGTTGTCACTGGCAGCATTAAATCAACTTATTCTTGAGACAAGCATAATATTTTCATAGGCTTAATGATTTTCACAAGTTGATCAAAGGAGAGGCAAAGTCAGTGCATCATTCCTCCCCCACACCTTTTAGAAGGGCACATTTCATCTGTGCTTATTTGCACTTATCAGTTTTCAACACAGCTTTGGGCAACCCTCCTTCCTCGTAGCCAAACAGTGGATCCATCACTGAATTCTGTTCTTTTTTTGTAAATGAGAAGTACACTCTTGGTGAGGGATTGAATTTTGAAAGCTTTTTACCCTGAACCCAAACAGTAGCTTTCTTTGAGAAATGGGTTTGCGGGTACACCATGGAATCAATCTCTTTTGGTTGAGGTGTGGTTCTCAAGAACTGGTGAGTATACACTCACTCTACTCAAAGTAGCTTTCTTTGCTGATTTGATGGGAATGACAGGCTTCTACAGAAAGGAATGGACCATAGCTATCAGGTCTTGATACACCAATTTGGTCACTAATGATGCTACTGTTGGTGAGTCTTCAAGACCAACAGACCACATTATCTACAGAAATCCAATGATGTCGAGTAATCCCCCAATAAGAACATTTCAAAAATGACATCATTGGAAAGTGTCCACATATCCTACAGTTAGGCCAAGCAAAAAGATTAGCTGTGTTTCCGGTTACCCGACCCAAAGTAGAAAGTCATGCAGAACATATATCTTCTTAATCAACAAATCAATAATATATGAAAACTTACGATGCTTTGCCCCGAACCTAATTTTGTATACATCATCCTGTACATTGTATTGTTGAAATTTTTTTGGCACAAGATGGACGGCTTTTGTGTGTTTGTATTTCAACAACCAGCTTCTTTGCTACTCAAAAACTGTGCTGAGGAATATGACACTGTGACTTAGTACCTGTTACAAATATACGTCCCCTCCAAAAAAAAAAAAAACATCATCAGACCCGACATTTTGGGGCTATAAAAATTCAGAGTAAAAAAATTTTACCCAACCAACCACCCTAATTTTTCAGTGTAATAGGAACACAACTGATTTTTTATTTGGCCATATAGCAATAAGCATGTGAATGCTGTGCTCGTGTCCAGTACACCCATATTTGTGAGGATGTCCTTTCAAAGCTTTCATGATGGCCATCATTTGACATGTCAAGTCTACTTGAGATAAGCAAGAAAAAAAGGTGAATGTCACATTTTTACGAGTGTGCTCAAAGTTATTCTTAATTGAATGCCCTATGTTCAATTTACATTGGATGATAATGAAGTCTCTTCAAGGAACACAAAAAACTAAGACAAAAACATTCTGTCACAATTCTTGAAGCAAACATTGAATGGTACAAAAAATTCCTTTTATTTTCCAAGTGAAAAACAAGTTGGACCAATATGAACTGTTTCTTGAGATGTCCTCAAAAAGTCTCAGCAGTTTTTCATCATGACAATTTGCCCAATTAAAACCCAAGTTTCCCTAAGCTATAAGAGTACTTTTACAGTTTTCTACAACAGGAGTACTTTCAATTTCTCACAGCACAGACAAGTTTTCATGCACTCCCAAGCGTTCCTCATTTGGGCCATGATAAACCAATGACGATGAGGTAAAAGTTTCTCAGCTTCAATAAGTTATACTGAACTAATAGATACACTTGGTGTATTGAAGAATACCATCACTAAACAGAATTCAAGTATCACATTTTTAAACATGGACAGTTACAGCATGGTTTCGTCACAAAGAATATTACACTGAACACCAATGATGTTCGACAAATGAGTTAAACTATTTTGCCTATTTGGCCTGATTCAGTTACAATAAAAGCTCATAAAAATAGGCTGTTGCCGGGAGGTAAACAGGTTAAAGGGGCCATGTATAAAATGACACATTTAAAGGAAGAAAAAAACTCTTTAACAATGTCCTTTCGTTGATTGGTTGAAACAAATTGTCTCATAACAGACTGCATTAAAACAGGTTTGAGTATTTGCTCAACTAAGCCACATTTGATTGGAAGCTTTTGTCTGACATCAATGGAACTGGATCATCCATAACTACAGGTCTGTAAGTGCAATGCTCAAGAGGAGCAGACAAACCAACCCTTTATGATGGAAGTACATGAACATCACGTTCATTCTCATTTTATGATTTCAATTCTATACATCCACCGCAGTAACTTGCTTCAGTAACTTGCTTGAGGGGGCAGCTCAATGAATGCAGAAGGCAGTTAGTTCCTTTACAAGACACAATGTCAACTTACATTAGTGCCTATTTTATTATAACTAAGCAAGGATATTATTACTGATTCTTTAAAACAACAATCCATGCTTCATTTCAGTTTACATAAAATAGTGCATTGAACCTAATAAACGATACCTAACAAATCTAGTTTCACCAACACGGCCTCAACACAACAAAATTAGCACAAAATTACACTGACATACAAACTGTAAGTACATTGTACATGTACCTTGCAAAACTCTCCAAATCCATTTTGAGTTGACCTCAGGTGCCCTGAATCTCTCAGGTATTAAAACATCACAGTAGCCAATAATTGTTAAATTATCCTTCGTGTTACCTAACCCATAAAGTACTTGTAACAGGTCTTTAGTCATAATTAAACAAGAGAAATCAGCAATGTGCCCATCTTTTCCATACCTTAACCCAAACACGGAAAATGATGTACGAATTTACTGTTATCAAAACTCTAAAATGAGCACAACAATTCTGATGGGAACAAGAAGTAGTTGGTCGTATGAATAAAAACTAACAAATGCTATGAAGTTCAAGCAAACAGCTAAAGCATTTACTGAGAACTCGAACCGTTAAGAATAAGAAAATGCATGAATTTGTAGGAATAAAATGTTTCTTTTACTATTCAGCATCTACTGGTATAAATATTAGCAAATGCTTTATGCTTGTGGCTGACTGCACAGCCGAATGGTTTTGCACAATGGGGCTTCCATTGTCTGTACGTACAGACGCACATAGTGGAACACAGTACTGTATTTTGAGACCTCAGCAAGGCAGGCAAGCACAATGGGAGTAATTTTAATCGCAAAAACCTTGGGAGAAAATTTCTCTGCCACTCTCAAATCAGTACAACTGCCTGCATCTGGTTTCTTGAGATTCCCTCCCAAAGGCGACAGCTTTTCCTTTCAAATGACATTCATGAATACTGCCATTTTGAACATTAGTAAATGCGCCTCGTTTTCAAGCTTGCCCTGACCCAGTCTGGAAAAATGTCCAATTCTGTAGAACTTACTCATTTTTATTCATACAAACTGAAGCAACTGCTTATTGTCAAGCACAAGCTTAAAAAGTAAATACTTTCACTTTTTAGCAAATGCACTAAAGTAAAAGCGTTTGCTTCGTTATTATTCATACATACACAAGCAAATACTTCAAAAATGGTAGTAAAAGCAAATGCTACTTTTTATTCATACGACCCATTAACCAAATTATTTTTGGTTGACACCCCTTGACCACTACCTGCCGGGCGACCTGTTTTCGGGTACATAGGCTTATATGCAGAGCTGGGGAGGCCGGAACTGGGACAAAAGAGTTGGGCCTTATAACAAAAGACTCTGCTCAGCACAAAAGACAGCTGCTGGGCATTACCGACATTTTTTCGCTCTCAATAGTGGAGATAATCCAGCCTTGTTTTGAAACAGTATACCACTGTTTGAGGCATTTAGAGCGAGCGGATTACCACCAGGGACAAAAGCTCTCCACCACCGCAGCGATGAGCAACACAGCACTGCTGCATGCAAATCTGGCCCCTATTAAAAAGAGGTCAGTAGTGCAGGAACAAAAGAATCTTACGTAACACCGCACAATCCGGGCTCTTTTTACAAGGCTGCAGGCCTTATAAATTTTACCTGTCAGTGCCCAAAGAGTCCTTCATTTTGGTACAAATGGCCATAACCCCTTTGCGACAGATTATGGTAAAAACCGCCGTAAAAATTGAGATCCTCAACGTGGTTTTCAGCTATTATTCTCGGCCCATGCTCGAGCGAACACGGTGAAAGAAGGCAGACCCTGGCTCTTGTATATATGGTGATTGGCCTTTGTGTGGAGCCCAGAAATGAAAAGATCGAATATGCATCATAATCAGCAGCTTCACAATAGTCCCCACTTTGAAAAGAGGCAACGGGAATGTGGAACCGTGAGTAGAGCCACATGCCACCAAACAATGTTCCTTTCACTGTGTAATTCAATGTGTGCAGAGCACGCAGGGCCACAAACCAAGAATTTGCAGTTTGGCAGGTGGCCTTCGTGGCCAAGCGAGGCTGGAATTCTCGGAGTCAGCTTTCAGAAAAAAGTTCCCCTCGTCAAGGGGTTAAATGAAATGATGAATTTTTGAAGAATTTTGAAAACGGCAAATCTTGAAAATGACCCGGTATCTTGTCTTGCTCAAGAAAAATCCACTCGGCAGCAAGTGGTTAATGTACTATACAAAACCTCAAACTGCACTTCAAACCCTCAACCTGTGACTTTCCAAATATCATACTAGGGCTCCTATAATAGATACTGCCAAGTACCCAACAACTTGTACACACCAGAATATTACAGACACTGTAGCTTCATACTTAGAATAATTTCTTTGGTAAACCAAAAATTTAAAAAGATTCACTAGTGTTAAACCTTAAACACCAGATACCATGGTGGAACCTTGACCTAAAAGTCATAAGAACTACTTCTTGAATAAAAAGAAGGCATCTAAAAATCAGCATCCAGTGTGAAGACATGCCTGTCGTCATTTGGTGCCATCACATTTGCACGCTGGTACTCGGCCACGCGCTTCTCAAAGAAATTGGACTTGCCTTCAAGGGAAATGGATTCCATGAAGTCAAAGGGGTTGGGGCTGTTGTAAATCTGTAAGGATAAGTACAGGGTATACATGTAAAAAGGTCCAATTTAAAATGGGGTCTATACACCTGCACTCACTAATAAGGGAATAAATATGTGCTTAACAAGTCTTAATCGTGTGTTTAAGACCAGTTCAAGAGAGTGGACGTGAATATCATTACCGTTCAGTGTCCTGAGCCAGTCTTAAACTAACATTTAAGATATTTGTTGCCATTAATAAATGCCTTTCTTCAAGAGTTACAAGAAGTCACAATACATGTATGATGTACTTCCAACGATTTTGTTCTAGAATTTTACTTTCATTATCTTGAACACCCCAATCCCTTTTATGGTATATTCCTTGTGCAAATTGTCCAAAAGAATCTCTTTAGATGAACTTGGAGCGCGCCTGACGAGCCGTGTACACACAGACTCTTGACCAATCAGAATCAATTAAACTGTCTCATATCCAGGTGTCAGTGCAGTGGGCATTATCACTTCTCTGTGGGCATTATCAAATGTGAATACACAGTCAAATTGCACATTGTGCAACAGGTAAACGATCCTGGGTATTTATGAATGTTAAAGGAGTACTCGCTGGACTTATTTGTTAGATTGCACAATAAAGAAAATCATGCCCACTGTACAGTAATGAAACAAAATCTTGTTTAAATAGCAAATGTACTCAGGTCACTTGTCTTGTAGTAGGAAGAACTATGTGGCCTGGCACAATTTAGATTTTTCAAAGCTGATAAGAACACTGTTGTAATGCCGAGGTGGGACTTTTCAGAATTCATAATTGAAAAAGAACTTCAGGGAAATGTGTGGCCTGGGAGGCACTAGGACAGCTTGATGTCCATATATTGTCAAGGAAGTAGCCTCAAAAACCAAGGACATTCAAAAATCTGGTATAACTCATTCAGTGCTTCTAAAAACTGTCTTCTAGTATGAAGCAACATAATCCCTGAACCATCGGTGGATTTCCTCACTAGGCTTGAAAACAACACGAAAAAATTTTTGCCTTTTTTTTGAATTGCAAACCTTCACAATATTGATACCTTTTGGCAATTCAGCTCTATCAGCAGCCTATCAGCCACAAACTCAATGTACTGTAACATCAACTCAGCATTCATCCCTATCAGACGAACTGGTAAAGCCTCCAGAAAGAACTGTTTTTCAATCTCTACTGCATCTGTGATGATCTGCTGGATCCTGGTGGGAGTTGGCCGGCGGACAAGGTACGTGAAGAGATGGCAGGCAAAGTCACAATGGAGACCCTCATCACGGCTTATCAGCTCATTGGAGAATGTCAGTCCAGGCATCAAACCCCTGACAGACAAATGGATGTTGCCAGCATATCACTAGAAACTAGTTATGCACATTAAGGTGCAAATTGGTCACAATACAAACACAGCACAATTTACTGTTCCTGAACACAGTTTAGAATAATATGAAGAGCAGTGCAGCAACTAGTCATTCCACTCTACCCTAAGGGTTAGAAACAGTTCTCTTCGAGTAGATCTACATGTACAACACTGAACTGCTTTTATTTGATACAATCTTAATAGGCCTATGTACTGACGATGTCATACTTTGCTTTGATGTGTGCTTTTCTATGGTAGCCAGGAGGGGGCAAAGGATTCCAAGCTCAATAGGTAAGCATGCATGTAAACCAAGCATGACATCATTATAGCATACATGAAGGCCTGTTGGAAAGCAATGCCCTAAATGGCTGACATTTATACGTCTGATTTGAATTTGTCATGAGTGTACTTCAACACAAACACATCTTGTAATAATCAAGTTACCTCTTTTTCAACCAAAATATTGCAGCAAACGATCCAGAGAAGAAGATGCCTTCCACTGCAGCAAATGCAATGAGCCTCTCTCCAAATGTAGCTTCCTTGGCATGGATCCATCGTATGGCCCAGTCTGCTTTCTTCTTGACACATGGCACTTAATAAACAAAAGAGGCATTTTTACTTTGAAGAACCTTGCCATATTAAGCATACTTCCTAGACTCTCAAGGGAAGGCGGTACATACAGTATGCTTATTAACACACTGTGGCCATGTGTTAACTGATGCTTTAGAGTTTTCTTATTTAGCGTTTCTTATTTTGCGCAACCTTTAACGTAAGTGTGTTCCCCATCAGGCGTAACAGAAATATCCTCAATTGTTTTATATGAAAGAAATTTAATAAACCTGGCTTTAAGGTCACACTGACAAGAAGACAAACTTTTACAAGAGACATTCAGTAACTAGTTAGACTTTGTATACGTACATGTCAGTTGCTACAAGGACAGTACCTGTAATTCAATTTTACAATGCATGTATAAATTTCACATTTATTGATTTATTAAGTCAAATTTAAGTGGTCTCTAAGTACAAACCAATTCTAATTACTGCTTATCGTGCATATATTCATGATTTAGAGCCAATTCCTCAATGGTTCACTGCTTGATTATGGTTGCTAAATATCTATGAGGTACAAATTTGGATTATAACATGGTTTAAGTTGGGTGGATAGTTGATGTTAACTGCCAAAGTATTCGAAACTGACAAACTGGTTCCCATGACGAAGCAATTTATACTGTTACCATGTTATAGGGTAACTCCATGAAGTTGGGACAACTACATAATTTGGCAACTCATGGAGATTTGAAGTGAGCTTTATGTGGTAAAATGGGGATGATTGTCAGTGTTGTGTATTTTTATGGAAGAGCTAGTGTTGGTGTCTCCTCGAGTAAAAAAATATTAATATATATCGCTTTGTTCAAAAAATTACAAAACTGTTGGTGTCCACCATCATTTTTTTTTTAATTTGTGACATTAAAAATAACATTTTAAAACAAATTTTTCTTGAATAAAATACAATGATAATACTCATTAAACATACAAATTGTACACTTTATAATGTCTGTCCTTAATAAATCCCAAACTATGCCGGTGTGATCGCTCTTGCACCAAAAAAATCCTACCTCTGCCAGAATGAAACGGCCCCACATGGATTGGTTACATCACTAGTGCAATGTGGAAATGCGGCCTGGGGATTTTCCACGATGTGAAAACTGAAATAAACACGTGAAGTGCCGATGTTCGTGCGCAGCATCAGATCCAGTTTTGTAGAGTTGATTGGCTTACCGATCACAATTTTGAAAAGTTTTGGGGAAAATTATGAGACAGTGGGTATATTGTTAACTAGTTTCGGTAAGAAGTTGCATGATTGTGTCAAACAGGTTTAAAGAAATGTTTGTTTTTGCTGAAGAAAGGTTAGCTTTCAATTATCAGCCTAACTCAACACAGTGTCCAATGTAGCGTAGCGTTGGTACAGACTCGCGAAGAACAATGGTCACGAATGCCAATGTGAAAACGGAGCGATGATTGATCCAGAGAATCGTGTGGTATTTTAACATAAACTAGGGTAGATTGTTTATTAAACATTTCTGTTTTAAAAGCAGTTCAACACTTTTTAAATTTTCACCCGTCACACTTTTTGCCCAAACTTCATGGAGAGACCCATACTTGTTACTACCTCATTTTGCACCATATCCTCAATACTATCTTGAGATCTTGACAATGCTCTATCAAATGACTAAAAATAACTAAAAACTCAAAATGTGGATTTCTTTTACTCTTGAATGCTTTCAAATAACACTTACTTGTTTCCATTGCATTGAAAAGCTGTGTCTTCTCTGAAGAATCCTGAATGTAGCTTTCTATGAGGAGACTGTACATCTCAGAGTGCACATTCTGTGATGTGAATTAACAATCAAACTACAGGCATCATGAAAGTCTGGCCAAAAATAGGCTGTAACATGTGTACATAAACATAACATTGCTGACGATGCAATGGAAAGGGAGTAGTCAGGAAACGAGGGACTGGTAACAACTTTAACCATGTAAAATCCATAAATGTGATGTTTACTTGAAAAATATATACAAAGGGCTTTCAGCTGGGTGTCACTTTAAAAATGGGCATCGAAATTGCACTTTCTCTTTCCAAAATCAGATCTCCTTCCCACATGCCACTGACCTGATTAACAATTGACACATTAAACATATAATGGCAATTAGGTATACAATTCAGCATTGTTTGCCCCACCTCCATTGCCATTTGGAAGCCATAGAAACATCTTGCTTCAGGAATCTGAACTTCTTGACCAAACCTCTCTACTAGATTCTCATTGACGATGCCGTCACTTGCTGCAAAGAATGCCAGGATGTGCTTGATGAAATGTTGTTCAGATGGCTGTAATCAAATTCAATATTATGTAAATGTATGCTCAATGGTTGGAAACTGAGATGATCATTTACATGTGGTTACAAGATCCATCATGCTTTAGGAAACAAGCTTTACCAAAATAAAGTCTCCCTTCATGTCGCTTCCTTAACAGATTAGCGTATGAACAATCTGCAGGTTTATAGCAGACTGGGGGAAAGACAGAAGTCTGAAAATATTGAAATTTTTAAAAAAGTTTTGTTTGTATTTGTTTTTGTTACTTGGGCAACAGTGCTGTAATAAAGATAAAGGAAGTACCTTTAAATTCTGCCAATCTGTCAGATCTTTTCCAAGATCTACTTCCTCACACGTCCAAAACGATGCTGTAAACATTAGAAACAGAAATGTGAAGTATTTTATAAAATTGCTTCTTTTATAAAGTGCTTTTCATAAACGCTTCAGAGTTTTACACACCTGTCAATTTATCAATGTTCTGTAATTCCTTAAACAGTTAACTACCAGGTACTGAATGCTAATTTGAAAGTACACATGTAGCTCCAAGTAACATTTGCAAAGCCTGCTGGGAAAAGGCTTGCATTCCTACCTCGATGAGAATGGACTCCAGCACTTGATTGAAAGTGTTTTGACAAATTAAATGTAATATCACATGTAAAAGTCACTGTTTACAAAATCTGATGCTTTCTAAATAACGTCAACATTTATAACAGAACTGTATTCTCCTTTATAACTGGTTACATTGAACCTAGCACAGAATTCCTGTGAGTTATCTAAGTTAAATTAAAGATTATGCATTCCAACAAACCTTGTGCTTTTTTGTAAAATTCCCAAACGAGTGGATATCTGATTGGCAAAATGACATAGCGTCCAGGGTTAGGTCTTAAAAGGGGTTCGTCTGAGACTTCATGCCTGCTTGTTAAAGCATCTCGGTTTTCCTCTTTGGCACTTTGTGTTTTGTCTGGAGTATGTCTGGGAGTGTTGCCTGATGATGTTTGAGGGTATGGTTCTGACAAACTGTGGAGGTGTTTGTTTTCCTCTGTGGGTGTAGTTCTCCCACATTCTTTATCTTCCTCCTCAATGTACGACATTTGAGATAACACGGCTGGCTCCTCCGTGTCATCCTTGATCTCTGGAGATGATGGCACCTCATTACTGCCAGGTAAGCCATGTAATGAAGGAAGAGCAAACGGTTCAAACTCCTGTGACATGGCATTGGTTGGTGGTGAGAACAAATCTAGCGACATCTGTGAGTCTGGAAGATCATGCTCAGATGCTAGATCCAGATGAGGTAAGGTTATTTTTTCATGTCCATCTTTGCCAATCATGGTGTCTGATGAAGTGCAACTTTTCTTGGAGGGATTTTCACTGGAGATCTGTGGAACACAGTACCATTACACTGATAATGTTACAGAGAAAAACAAGAACTGTGATCCATCCACCAAATCTAACATCTGGTTTGGCAATTTTACACATTGTTTTTGACTGAGCAGCAAAACCTTCATTACTTTACATGGGAAGTACATGTACAACGCACAGCTTCCTTATTTCATTGACATGACAAGAATGTACCATAACATGGCACAATGCTGGATTTGGGTATTCCAAGGAGTATTCTTGCTAAGTGACACAAGTGATTCACAATGCCTTCAAATTGTCATTAAAGGACTTGCACCAATGGCTACACACACCGACTATGTAAAAAGGGTCAAAATTGCAACACTCTGCATCACAGCAATCACATGAAGCTCTGTATTACCAAACATTCCAACTTCATCGTCTTGTGACAAGAAGATGACTCCAACCACTAGCAAGCATCACAGTTACTTGACCCTTTTTGGGATCTAATGAGACCAGTTTCAAACTAACAATCTTTCATTTGGCCCTTTCAACGAGCTCTGAAAATAGGGGTCCCTTTTGATGAAATCACATTGATGTCATGATCACAGAGATGTATGTAGTGCCTTGAGAAAATGTATACCTGTCACAAAAACGTGAGGGTCCCTGTGTGATGATCGCAGATACAGACCTCCTTAAAACTTTTTGCAAGGGTGCTAAATCTTTGCGCTTATCACTGAAATTGATTGTGTGAGTTCAAAGCATGCAATTTTCGCAAGAATGGTTGGCGCTGAAGCCCATGAGCATTTGCCGTCATTCAAAATGGCAATGTATCGCCTGTTAGTAATAATCTTGTGGACATCTGGTTCCTAGGGTGCATTATTATCGATTTGCATAAACTAGAGGAGGGAACCAGATCTATGAATGTTGGGCCTTATTGTCTGGAGCTAGGAATACCAAGAAAAGTTGCGCTTTATTTCTTGAAAATCAAGCTGCTAATGTGTCTTTTTGTGAGTTCAATGAACGAAAAATGCCCAGGATTGCTCGCAAAAAAGAGATATAAAAATCAGGTTGACAGATAGGTGCAAAGCTGTGGCAGCCTGTGACCTGTAGGCAAAATTTGCATGTCTTGTCTTTGCTGAAATGTACACAGTTAGTTTGTGGAAAAAAGCATTCGCTTATATTATGGCTGGAAAACCACTGGTACTCTATACCTCCACCATTCAAAGAATATCGCAGTACCAGTGATCCAAATGCCAATGCTGCAAAACAAGGGACATTCGCTAATGTGCTGCATAGATGAATATATACCTCCTCCTCCAGTGTGGCACTCTGAATGTCCCTTTTAAGATTGTCACTACACTTCCTCTCCATCAATCTGTTTCCAGTTAGAACTAAAAACGAAAGAAAAAGAAACAGCTTGAGAGAAATAATTCTCTCTCTGAAGGATATCTTAATTTTGCTTATCTTTAAAAAAACAGTGAATTAACAACAACCCACAATGAGGAATAGACTCTTTTAGGAAATTTAAAAGGAGACTTCTGTATCTTTTTGAGGTGTTACAAAAACCTAAAGTTGTCTGATCAACAGGCCCAACAGGAAAGCCAACAATTTACTTCCACAATACCAACTGATCCTATCTTTTTTACATCCCATTTCAAAAAGTTTACATTGGCCAAAGAAATTGACTTCTGTCCTCACAAAAACTTTTTTCTCAACAGTTTTCATGCAAAATAAAATATAATACCTATAACTGGTGTTTGCATTTATTTCCCCATCTTTACTTTTTCAGAACAGAAGTTATGTAATCAGGGAATGTTAACATTTAAATATCATTCTAATATTTGCAATTTGATTGAATTGAGGGTTGAACATTGAGCCACACTTGAATTGACTTACAGACTCAGCCTATCACAGCTCACAGATTTGAAGATGCACCCTCATGTTGCGAGCAGCGTGCCTTGATCATCGGTCTATTCACTTGTTCTGTCACATACAAACAAGTACATGTTAATTCAAAAATAACATGGTATTGTTCAATGCTGGCTGTAAGCAAAAATTAACATCAAATCAGTTCACAGCTTTTGGCAGACCAAGAGGACAGCGCCTACAGGGGCAATGGCCCCCCAAAAGAGACAAGTTTCTTTGTTTTGAAACAGGCCAGTGAGAAGTTTTCACAGTGGCTGTAATGTTGTCACTTTGGATTAGTGGTTTCTTTTCTGTTGTAGTAATCTGCAGCACTGTACACAGGAACCATGCACACCAGACTACATGCACATGTATAACCCATGAAGGAAGGAAACAGGAGTTGCGAGTACAAGGCACTTCAAAGTGCTTGATCATCACCGCCTAGTCAGACGAATGATAGAAACATCCTCCAAATGCCTGATTACTGCCTGTAGCTTAGCCCGACAATTGGAGCCAGTAATATCCTTGTGATACTTGTATTTGTGGTGTTTTGCTAGCAATTTTGCACTATCTGATCACAAGAAGTGATCATGAAATCTCATACAACAAACACAAATGCCATATTAAAAAAAAATGATCCAAAGAAGACACAAAATCTTATTAACAACTTGGCCATTTGTTCCCAAATAACTCCAGAAGAAGGTGTTCTAGGAGGGCAATAACTGTACATGAACATTCAGGGCATATAGCATAACAAAAGCAACTGTGCAAGTATTAACTTTGATGTTGTTGTGTACTTCATACCAAGCACCAATGAAGATATGAATATTGAATTCCCTATAGTTCAGCACACTAAGTTTTAGGGATACAGATTACCAGCAAAAAATCATAGTCACAATGATATGGTACAAAGGGGTCTCATGGTTGTAAAAAAGAGGATGCGTATCAAGCGCTCTCTGCGCTCTGGCTATGGACATGCCGTACCAGACAGGCCAGAAAGCGGTAATTAGCCAGATGTTATACATGTAGCCTGGGCAGTTCATACTCCTCCTGTGTCCTTCCTCCATGGTATAACAAATGATCTCAGACTATATTCCTTTGGGAAAGTCCATCATTTGCAGTTGTCCAATACAAACCTATTGTTGAAAAGCATACATTTGGTGGTTATGGCTCTAAGCTCCGTGAAATTACATACATACACTGTGTTCTTTCTGGCAAGCTGCCACTTTGAAGAGAGCAACAAAAGGTCATTTCCAATATGAACTGTCCTGAGGTACACACTGTATAGCTCTGGAACTTGTTGAATAGTGGTTTTCAGACTATGAAACAGACTATATTTTAGAAAAAAAGTAGAGTTTTTATTCACAAACTCATTCTCCACACCACAATGACTACATCATAAACTTAGTGTGCATCACACTGCACATGAGTCATGCCAATGAGCCATGGGCTGACTGACCATCTCGGCCAATGACGATATCAGCTCCATCATTCTTACAGGTAGAGGATGAAATCTTGTGTCCGTTCTATTCTGCATAGTGAAGCTGTGGATGGGTATTCTGGTATAAACCACAGTCTGCAAATGTTTTAACTATCAGTTTTGGTACACTGTAAAGAAAACTTAAACTTGAAATCAGAAAAAATGTTTCTGAGGTGTTTTGTAAGAAACGGTCCCAAACTGGTCAAGCTGATATCATTATCAGTGGCCAAGCTGGTTAGTCAGCTCATCACCCGATGCATGTGCAGTGCAATGCACAAGAAGTGTATGGTTTGATTGTCATGTAAAGAATGAGAGATTGGTGATTTACATGCACATGTAATAAACATAACTATTTTGTCTAAAAACCACTATTCAAGAAAATTCAAGAGCTATACATGGGAATGTAGGTACCCGAGGATGGCTCTCACTAAAAAATCTAGTTGAGAAAGTAGAATTTGTGTCACAAGAAGTAATTTACATTAGAGGCTGAATTCAAGAACAGGCATTATGACCCCCATACATGTATGCATGCATACATACATACATATATAGGCCAACAGTAATATGGCCAAAAGGCACGCTGAACTGCCCTCAGGTTTCCAGAAGTAACTTTATCTCAAAACTGTTGCTTTCCAACAGGGCAAGTGAACAACTGCAGCATCCTCACTATAAAGATGTTGGTTGTGTACGAAGTCAGTTTGTGCATCTTTCAAAGAATTTTCTAAGAAAATCTTGAATACAATCAGTCCAGATTCATGTCATTTCAACATTTTAGATATGAATGACCTTCATTGTCATCATGGTCACTGAGATCATAACTGAAGAAAAAGTGGAGGCCTAGGCAGGATATACTCCTAGATCTGCCAGCCACAGTCCGTGTGACCCACCGGTGCTAATTTTTTAATTAGTTTTGTAACACCGTGGGATTTTGAATGTTCCCATTTATTTGGCCTAACACTGGACTTCGCCAATCAAATCTTACCCACAAAAGCCATTGACACTAAATAATATCTCTCAAACACGCATGTTTGATGGCTTTTGGACTGTGTAACCAGCTATTTTTGGCAAATTTCAGACCTTTTACTTATAATCCTGCCTCTCTTCACAAAACGATCTGCACATCTGAGCTGCATACTGTGGCGCATGCCGTTGACATGGAAGACTGGTTCCCATCTCAGTCCTCTGAATGTATATTATATGGATGGCCACCAGTCCTTCTTCTTCTCCTTCCAGTCTAATGATGCAACCTCATTTCCATGGGTACCATCTTGCTATGCCATGTTAGTTCCCAATGAAGGGACACAACCCATGAAGTCAAAGTTGCCAATGACATGGCACATTGTACATCATTGGACTGGCTGGCGTCCCTATTATATATGTTTGGAGGAATGGGATGAGGCAGGCACCAGTCTTCCATGTCAACAGCCATGTGCCACAGTATGCAGCTCAGGTGTGCGGTCCGTTTTGTGAAGAGAAGCAGGATCATAACTAAACGGTCCAGATTTTACCCTAATCGCTGGTTAAATGGTCCAAAAGCCATCAAACATGCGTGTTAAACAGATATTATTGAGTGTTGATGGCTTTGGAGTGGAAGATTTAATTGAAAAAGTGCAGTTTTAGGCATTATAGATGGGAACATTCAAAATCCCATGGCATTAGGAACTCATAAAAATCAGGACCTGTCAGTCACACTGAGTGTGGCTCACAGTTGTGGGAGTAAGCCCAGGCAGGATTGCATCACTTTTTCAAGTCGGGCATGCCCCACCTGTGACAGTGATGCCAAAGTGTGTTTTGAATGGGATGTAACATTGACAGATGATACAGTACAACATTGATGGATCAGGCCTCATACATGTAGGCCTACTTAACAGTAGTGGGACTAGATCCATTAACAGAGCCCTATGTGTACTTCTTCGATATACATGTATGTACTGGGCCCTGAACTGGTTGATAGTGATTTCTTTTGATCAAGAATATCTGGGAATGGGATGCCCTGGGATATTATCAGACATCTGCTGGATTTTATGAGCTGAAATTGCACCAGTAATTTCACTCCTCAGGGGGCTAACTATTCCCAAGGTTGCCATTTGCAAAAAACTCGCTCTTCCTCCTTTGGAGGAAAAATCCTGCCTTCAGTTGGCATTTTCCCTACTGGGGATGAATTTTGGCCTGACTTGCATATTAGTACACAGACTCCTTTTTATGGTTGACAGTAGCCTGTATACAGAGCTGGTGTAGTTTGCAGTACGAATTTCGTTCAGATCTGCGAGAGTACCTGTCAATCTAAGTAGTCGTGGAAAATTCCGGCTGTTTTGTGTCGCAGCTAATGCACACCACCCTTGAGTTGACCAATTCCCTGTCCACTCAAATAAAGCTTGCGGCGAATCACTAGAACATGTAGCACGGCTTGCTTTCTGCGACATGACAGCTGTCACTTTTGTGCAAGTCAGGCCATAATTCACCTGGAGAGGGAAAAATGCCAACATTTTTTCCACTAAACAAGGAAAAGGCAAGTTTTCAGCAAATAGCAACCTAGGGGAAAGTTAGCCTCGTACATTGTAAGTAGTGAACATAACAGTACAATTTCAGCTCATAAAATCCAGCGGATGTCTGATAACGCCCCTGGCGGCCGGATAAACTAATCGAAAGAATCACTACCAATCGATTCAAAGCCCAGTATATTGACAAAGGAGTATACATTGGGCCCTGTTTACGGGTCTATAGCAGGCGTTTGTAAACTTTGGGCCCCCATTTTCATCATTTGTGCAAAAGACGTCGATCTACAAAAGAGTACAACCTCGAGCAATGTTCTCTTAATGATGTTGACCCTCTTTATTGTGAATTTAGATCAACAACTTAAAAGAAAATGCGACTTTCTTACCTGATTTTCCGACACTGACACACTGGACCGTGATTCTCAGTTAGCATGACGTCACTATGGACTTCTATTTTCTAACAAGGGATAAATTCACTCTTCATGCTATTCAATGATAATGGTAGACGGAAAAGGAGACCACACAGAATGACGTGCGTACGTATGCATATTATACTCAGCGAGTGTATAGTACACTGGGTACATATTTTATGTGTCCTGAGCATAATAATGCTCATGACGTATGTTGTTCTGTGTCAATGTGTGGCCTCCTTTTCGATCACCTTCAAAAATGTACAGAAGTTCCCAGATGTCCAACCACGAGAATTTCGCCACAGTCAGATGGTTGTTCATTGGCCCAAGATTTTCCCTCATAAATCAAAACTCTGCCCTCTTTCCACAAAATGAATCTTGCAAGGCTGCACTTATTCAGCATGGTGACAGCGTAATCTAGTAGTACTAGTCCTAAGGTGAGTTAACAAGTTTAAAAGTAAGTTTCCATTCTAGCAGTGTACATTTAATGTGTACATTGTAGGAACACAACAGGGTCCCGAAATTTACAAACGCCCTAGTACATTGTAGTAGGCCTAAATAGGACCATGGAGGTAGAATACCTCCATGGTAGGACTCACCATATTCACCAAAACCTCTGGTCAACAGCATGTAGGCCTACATGCCATTATGGTCATGACATGCAGGATTAATACTATATTACTAGCCTAACAAGTACAACCACAAGTTTAAAACGATATTTGCCAGTTATCATTCATAGGCAATTCGGCAAATTTGCACAAGCACATTGCTAGCGACAAGCTCGGACAAGTTGTGTAACCCTGCCTTGCCCTCCGTACGCTATATTCACAGATGAGAAAAAACAAACTAGTACCTGTAGTGATGCACACTAAAATATCACTCAGCATTAAATAACACGAACTGACGGGAAGAAAAGCAATTTTTGCACAGCCCCTTTTGTGTTTGATTTTTGAGTACAGACCCTGTGTATGGGATCGATACTGGTTGGACTACTTAATCCTGCACAGACTGCAGTGCCCCCTCTATATCACTAGCACTTACAGCCTACAGTCATGGAGATCGGTCGACAGCATTTAAAATGCCATTATACAAGTCTAGGTTTCTTCCCGGCCGCCTCACTTTCATCTTAGTTCTAACTCTAATCGTCTCCACGCATTTTATTTTTGGAACACATGCCTTGTCTTCAGTTCAATAAAATTTGATGTATTCGTAAGAGAAAAAGATTATGTTGTGTTTAACATATTTCATTACGAGGAACCAAATTCGTAAAACTGAAGTCCAAGCCATGTTGCTTAAGAACCCATGATTATGAAAACTCCTTTATGAACTGATTGGCCGTTTCTTAATATACGACTTCGTTTCCAATGAGACTCGCCAATAAAATTAATTCCCGATTATAGGTCTGCAGTATTCAAATGAACTTCAAATACTATATTTTTGCATATCATCAGATATTATCTATTGCGTTATCTGACTTCTTTTTGAGCTTAAACTCAAAAGTTCTGTGGTAAAAAATATAGAGCCACTGAGACAAATCGAGTATTGGAAAACGGCCATGGCATGCATCGCATGTATGGTTCGGATCGGCGAGGCGCGTCCACACTAATGCCGTATTTGCACAAACTTACTTCTGTCTAGTCGCGAGTAGATGAAGCGATACAATGTGCACCTGACGTAGCTACAGTGTAGTTGTGCCATGTCAACGCACGCGAAGCTTAATAACGGAGTTGTTCCAAAGAACTTTACCTTTTGGGTTCTAAAGTTAGGGCGTGCTAGTTTTCTGTAATTTTAGACCTCGGTATAACCGTGATTCAGACTGCGGGAAAAGATGTGACTTTGTTTATTTCCTTCTTTTCTTGCAAAACATTGTGGAGTACGAGTGGCAACAGATTCTGAGTCATACAACGGACAACTAGTGCCGGGCCCGTCGCGTGACTTGTGTGTCTCCCACATGCACCTCCATGGTTGTATGAAGTTCCTACAAGGACCCAGCACCAAGTTTTGTCAAAGAATTCGAGACCCAGCTCAACTAACAGTTTACTAGCCGAAAATGGCTTGGTGTTGTTCGTCTCTTCTTGCCTGTTTAATGATCATGGCAACCACAATCAATGGACAAAAGACTTTTCCAGGTAGGGCCTAGTTACCTTTTTTAAAAATTCATTTCCCCTTAGTTGCGGATGCTTTGTACCGGTACGGTATATGTACATCAGAGCACAGAGCAAGGAACAGCTCTGTGAGTATGGTCAGAGTCAGACCTAAATCAGACCATATATACTAGAGCAAGTTAACAGACACAGTGCTTCGGCTTAAAAATAAGACCTGTCTTGATGATAATTTCTAGGCAACATTTATCCTTTCCTCCACTTTTTTGAGCAAGAGCTCCATATCCGGCCACCGTGTATAAATTTGCCTCTAGACATAAATTCGTACCTTGCCATGTATTTTTATTACTATGTCCACTCTTTTTTTAAAATCAATTTAGGCCAAGGCCTAGTTAACTTTTAAACTTGTTTTATGAAACTTGTGAATAGTAATGGCCACATTCAGAACTCTTTCCGTTTTTGTCTATCTCAGTTTTTAAACATTTCAAAGTCAAAGTAAATGTATCCTGGTCCAAAATTGTTGTTGCACTCACTTGCAGCCTTGTCAGTCCTTTTCACTTTGTCTTGTTTTATTTGTTATGTTTTTCTGTTTGAGCAAAGTAGATTACTTTGTGTGGATATGTTTTGTGTGTGTTTAAGGTTTGGTACTCTTTTGGGAAAAAGATTCATACTGGTACAGGACACTTGACACCCTTAAAGCCTTTGAGACTGGTCTGAAAATTCCTTAACACTTCAATATTTTCCCTGGTGAATTTGATATTTTATGATATTTCTCTTCCTGATGGCTGATAAACATGTATCACTTTAGACTAAACCTTAGAGAAAAATTTATATCTGTTTGTGAAACACTTATCTTTTGTTGTATTATTTGAGACGGAAGAAAAGAAAAAAGGTAATTTTGTTGTTCATGTTGTACTTAACTACATGTACATGTACTGAAAAGTCATTTTTCTGTGTTTAATAAGCGTACTGAATGCTACTGATGACAACAAATACTGACACATATTCAAGCCATTGATTGCTTGTTTTCAAAAATGTCAATTTTTTTCAGGACATTCTGAATCTGTTAAAGAAATATATTGCTCTTGTTTGATACACTAACTACAAGTGGATTAACTAAATTTTCTATATATATTACAGGGAAAAACAACCAAAAGTGGAAAAATAGGTAGCAAGTACATTGTATTTATGTCACACTGACACACCATAAAATGGTAGACCTGAGATCGGGAGAGGGGTTGAAGGAGATCCAGTCTTTGAGCAGAATGTTTATGACCACAGTCTGTGTGCCTGTCCTGCTCTTTGAGGAGAGAGATATTGTTCAGGCAAATTTGTGAAAGAAAAATAGGCCTATGGTTTGACATTAAAATAAATAAAAAAAATAATAAATCCAATGAATCTCAAATATAGGGCTGAGTCAATTTGAATAATTAACTATTTGACTATTCAACATTCAGTTGGATTGAATAGTCAAATACATGTATTTGGTCTTACCGGCTGGCAGATTGTTGATGAACAAACCATATATAAACAAAATCAGTCACAATAATGCATACAATTATACATTATAATCACTGTAATAGCTTCTCACTTTTAGGACTATTTCCAGCCATGATTTAGCAAAGATTTAGCAACAAAAAACTTCTTCGACACCACAATTTGTGATTGCCAAGAGACCACTTATAATTTTGTTTGATGCAGCCATCTTCCTCTTCGGACCTCCAGTCATTCGATTTCAAGTTGAAATATTCGTCACAAAGGTTTCATCATGTTTGTTTGAACAGAGCTTGTATCAATACATTATTATTACATTATTGTTCCAAAGACTACCGTCTTGGCACATTTATATTTATTTGTTTAAAAGCTATTTTCATATCGGAGGATGGATTCAGCATTGGACTGTTGGACATATCAGCTGCCTTAAGTGTCTGGAATCTTCTTGAAACAAGCCACAATAATGTGATTTTAATCATTTAAAAAAGAAAAGTCTCCCTTCTTTTTCATGATTTTTGCATTTGAATATTCAAATTTGAAAAATGAAATCGAGTGTTCGATAATTGTTTGGATATTTGGCACAAACCTACTTAAATGTGTACATGAACCTTCTGTCTTTATATGATTCCCAAAAAAGAATTGTTATTTTCATGTTGTAATTGGCTAATGAATCCAGCATGTGAATGGGTATAGAATGCACTCACTGTAAAGTTGCCTTTTCAGTGACACCCCTAAAATTCATGAAACCCAGAAGTTTTCTGGAGGAAAGTAACCAAGTATCGAATACTGAATCCTCGTCAACTTAAATGAGCTAATTTAGTATTGACAGCGCAGAAACACCAAGTGAAGCATACATGTACATGTACATGTACATGTATGTGAGGTGAGATCCTTCAACTGTGCAGTATATGAGGTTTGCCCTATCAATGTGCCCTGTACAAACTCATGTGTGCTTTGTTCCCAAAATGAAATGACCTTGCTTTTTGGAATACCTGTATATGTGGATCATGCATTCCACATGTATAATGTCCATGTAGGGTACATCAGCACCAATAATCTTTTATATAAATTTACACAACTTAAATGGACATTTTGAAGTTCATACATGTACATAAACTTACTGGTACATGTACAAACGAGTAGACATTTTTTAAAGTGAACTCTACCAGGTGAAAAGAGAAGAGGAGTGTAAAACAAAGATAGTATAGCACTGCATAGATGGGGAACTCTGCCAAAAAAGTGTAACCGCCGTGAGCACCTTTCCAGCAAGCGCACACACCTGCGTATTGCACGTTAATGCACAGGCGCAGGTACTAGGCACTAGCACCAGTAGGTGTGTCAGCAGGAATGTCATCTCCATCTCTGTCCGGCAATTCACTGTCAATGTTTAACATTGTGTACTGCTATTACATGTACAGGTACATGTATATGAGAATAAAATTGCATTAAATGCCTAACTTGGTGTTCTTGTTGATTGTTGTATTCATTTGCATGTGTGCCATTACGCTGTTTCTTTATTGAAAAAAATCACCGTTAATCAAAATCAAAATAGATGAAGCAGTGATGCACATCTCTTGGAGATACATGTATTGGTGGAGAATAGGGGAGCCTTCAACCTTTTGTCTTTCAAGAAAATAACCCACCGGTAGCCACTCCTTCCAATTTTTTGTCCTGATAAAAATGTACATGTATAACTGAAGACGATGGAAATGGACTTGTCTGGTTGCACCATTTGTATGTAACCATTTTTGCTGTCAATGTTTACTGATTGACAACCACAGGCACTGGTTTTTTCTCCTCAGTTCTCGTAGGGCTCATTTAAGGAATTAATTTTGTTTTAATTTAATATTTAACATAGACTGTTTTCCATTAAATACTGTTAATAATGAACCTTTATTACACCTGTTTCATGAACAAGATAAGCTAGATTTAGCCACTTTGTTCATTTTTAAGCCCTATAAAGGGCCATATGTCATTCCTTCTAATGCTATGACTTATGTACATGTACATCCGGGTACTTTTTCCAAACTTTGCTTGCTCAAATGGTGCCCAGGCAAATTACAACATTTTACACGTATTCACAGTAAAGTTTTCGATCTTGCACCCCTATGCGGCACAATATGATCTCTGGTGAAAACACATTGCTGTCTACTGAACTACATGTACATGTAAGTCATGTACATCTTGCATGTGAGTACAGTACCGATACCTGTAGGTAGGTCAGCATGTACCGGTATATCTAGGCCATGGACATGACATTTGGACAATAATCCAACATTGTGCTCTAGCTTCCAACTGCTTTTCCGTACATACATGTATGTTGTTCATGTACATTTATGTATATACATGTCATCACTATTTTCACAAAGAGACTTTTCTCACCAGAGAGTAAAACCTAGGTTTTTGAGAAAATTGCATACGTTTGTGTCTTTTTCAAATGCATATTTCCCAGGATTAAGCATGCCATTGACTTAACCAACGCTACTTCATGAAAGAAGACACGTTAAATGGCACAAAACCACTAAATGATATTCATAGAAGTCCATTAAAATTGTTTATCTTGCCTCTTAAATTTGCCTCTTTGTGAAAACGTTAAAATTCTCTTGTGGAAACATGTGCTATTTTGCTATAGCATGTGCCAGGTGCAAAATTGTTACATTTCCGGCATCAAATTTGCCTCTTCATGAAAACGAGTTTGCCCATTTTTTTGCCCTTTATTGCTAACACTAAATGGAAGACAAATTTGCCTCCTCGTGAAAATGCGAAATGCGGAATAGTTGAAATTTGCCCCAATTAGATTATCGTGATTTGGCTGATTCAGTAGATTTGGTAAAAATGATTACACCAAGTTGAAAGCATTGCATAACCAAGTTGTTTTTGCGCCAAAACAGAAATTTGACAAAATCATGATTTTGGGCCAAAGTGTTGCTTCATGAAAACGATGAGGATGTGCACAGTACAATGTACCTATAGGTGTGCACACACCTGGTAGGCTATTATAACCTGTTGGTGTCAAAGGCTTGAGTGCAGTGGTTAAGGGTTTTTCCATTTAATACTTTTCTTGCATACCAATACATTGACTGGATTACTGTGATTAAACAGAACTGCAGTACACTTACCCTCCCAGGGAAACTAAGAAATGAGCACCACTGGGCTACCTAAGAACACTTGAACACTTTATGTGTTACACCTAATACCTGCCCTCAGATTTCCTACAAGAACTCACAGATTAAATCACTTTCAAAAAAAAAATTGCCTAATTGCATTAAGCCAGTTCCACTGAAATGCTTTTATAGCCAGGAATATGATTTTTTTGGAGGGGGGGAAAGATATATAGGTGTATATGCTCGTTGAAGTTGTGGTATGATAACGGTACCCGGTACATATCCAGTTGGTCAATAGTTCAGGCCTTCTGTGGGTCATGAGAGGTCACAACACAAACTGATTTTGATGGCATTGATTGGAAAACCAGTTTGAAATAAATGGACCGAACATATGTTGTATAATTTCTGTATTTCCTGTTCAAATTGATT